GATCAATATAAACACTTTTATATTGATATAACAGCACTAGGGATGTGAACGAGTAGTTGAGTAGTCAACTACCCAATAAGCAGGAGGTTATGGGATAGCATTATCAACTACTCAATCACCACCCTTCTGCACTCTTAAAGGAAAATGCAGGACAATGTAGCACTTTAAAGACTAACAAGATGGTTTTTAGGTGATGAGCTTTTGTGGGTCAGACATACTTCCTCAGATCAAATTGTGGAAGAAAATTGGCATGACCATATATACCAAAGGGATACAATCAAAAAAGTGAACACATGTACAATAGACAAATCAGATTTTAGAATAGAGGAAGGATGGGGGGAGGGGAGGGGAGTGTCTATGAGATAATGATAGTAGAGGTGATAACTGGGGAAGCTATCTTTGTAATGGGTAAGATAATAAGCATCTTTGTTAAGGCCTTAACAATTATCTTACTACTTACTATCCTTTGAGGTAATTGAAGGCTGCACTCCCCATGGATCTCTCTCAGCACAAGCCTCTAACCCTTCCCCCTTACCTCTCTGCACTCTTAAAGTGAAAGAGACCTGCAAGACGGGCTGCTGCTTCTCTGTCCCTTTAAGAATTCAGAGTGGCAGCTGGGAGGGGGGGGTGAGGGAGGGCTTGTGCTAAGATACCCAAGGAATCAGCTGCTGCTTCTCTGTCCCTTTCAGAATGCACAGTGGCTGGGCGGGGGGGGGGACCAGAGACAGAGCCAATGTCATTGTGTGCCGGCTCCTCTCTGTCTCTTTAAGAGTGCAGAGCAGCAATGGGAGAATTAGGGGGGCTTGTGCTGAGAACCAGAAGTGAGCCTTTCCTTAATAACTAGTCAAGTAGTTGATGGAAATTCCATTGACTACTTGACTAGCAAATTGCAAATTGACTAGCAAATTGCTACTTAACATCCCTAAACTGCACCTACATTATGATTGCACCATTTATATTTATTTTTTTAAATAGTGGTTTAGTTAAAACAGTAACAACTGTATAGATAAACCTTAATTTTCCCTCTCAGAGAACAAATTGGCATGGAGTAAAGATGGGGGTGGAGGGAATGGAAATGCAGGGTCCTGGTCCTAGAGTCTGGGGAGGGATGCTCTGACCCTTCTTCAAGGAGGCAGATGAGATAAAGTCCTGATGCTCTACTGAAATTGAATAACAAGCTACACATAATTAGCTGTTTTTATATTTAAACTATTATCAATAAGTTTCTGAAATTAATTTCTGTCAAAATGAAAAGAGAGTTGGAATTTTATGACTCAAAACTATTTATGATTCAAACCCAACATTTGCAATACATTCTTTACAATCATGAAGTCTTAGGCCTTTTTTTTTTTTTTTAAAGAAAGCTTAAATTCTCCAGGAACTGATGGAGCCACCACAGAAAACATTGGTATGGTGGATATGTAAGAGCCCAGTGGAACACTAGTACTATTTGCTCTTTTCCTGCAATTCAGGAATATGCTCTCACTTCTTGTCTACCAATCCATCATTAAAACATATGTTTCACCTGAATCTTTCCCAGGTTGATTTCCTCTTCAGCACCATCTTGACTTTCCGGTATTTGTGTTTTATTTCTATATTTGAAGTTTTCTGCATCAGTAAAGCTACACCAACTGCTGGCAACCAATTGTTGAATGAAGGCTACATTCTAGTGTAGATAAGCCCTAGTTTCATTGTAACTGTCCCAAGGCAGAGACTACTGTAGTGTAGTCTGAGTCTTGTAAACTGTCACACACATTTACCACTCCCCAATTACAATTATTGTCTGGTGTCCTTTCCTATTTAAATCACTGTACTATGCTGTTATGAAAAATACAATAGGAATGTGAATGTCCAGAAGCTGCATCCTGGCCTGAGTGACGCGGGAGCCCTAAGGGTGAGGAAGGAAGTAACAGATGGTGTAAAGATCCAGAACTACAAGTTCCCATTTTTTGAGGCTTGTGCCAGGGACTCCCCTGTAAGACAACCACCAGCATAGGGCCTAAGGCAATGAGGGAGAACTTAGGCTAGTTAGTAGACTGCATATGTGGTCCACTTTCAGCTCAGTGGACCACAAGATTGTTGTAACCAAGAGGCTGTGTCTAAACTACATCCCTTCTCTTGAAAAATAGATGTAAATTAGACACTTTGAAATTGCAAATGAAGCTGGGATTTAAATTTCCCAAGCTTCATTTGCATAATGGCGGCCCTGTTTTTTTTCAAAATGGGGCTTTTCGAAAGAAAAATGGCTGTTTAGACGGGAACTGATCGAAAATAAAAGCCTTTTTTGAAAGATCCTGTATTCCTCAGGATCTTTTGAAAAAGGGTTTTATTTTCAATCGATCCCCATCTAAACACCATTTTTCTTTTGAAAAGCCCCGTTTTGCAAAAAACTGTGGCCGCCATTAAGCAAATGAAGCACAGGAAATTTAAATCCCAGCTTCATTTGCAATTTCAAAGTGTCTAATTTACATCCCTTTTTTGAGAAATAGGATGTAGTTTAGACACAGCCAGACAGTCTCCTGGGATAGGGTAGTTTTGCTAATGGTACTTGCATAGCTAGAAGTTGAGCAGGAATAGTCAACATGGATTCACGAAGGGCAAGTAATGCCTGACCAATCTGATTAGCTTCTATGATGAGGTAACTGGCTCTGTGGATATGGGAAAGTCAGTGGATGTGCTGCCACCAAGGCAGCTGTGAGAAGCCCTTGAGGTCAATTATTTTGAAAAAAACCACAGCTGCTATACCTTCACTTTAGCAAAGCTTTTGATACGGTCTCCCACAATATTCTTGCCAGCAAGCTAAGGGAGTATGGATTGGATAAATGGACTGTAAGATGGATAGAAAGCTGGCTAGAATGTCGGGCCCAATGGGTAGTAATCAACGGCTTCATGTCAGGTTGGCGGTCGGTTTCTAGTGGAGTGCCCTAAGGATCGGTTCTAGGACTGGTTGGCTGTGTGTAGACTGGCATGATTTTGCGGAAATACTTTTAACGGAAAAGTTTTTCCGTTAAAAGTATTTTCGTAAAAAAGCGTCTACATTGGCACAGATGCTTTTGCGCAAAAGCATCCGTGCCCAGTATAGATGCGCTTTTGCGCAAGAAAGCTCCGATGGCAAGTATTCTTGTGCAAGAGGGCTTATCCCTGAGCGGGAGCATCAAAGTATTTGCACAAGAAGCACTGAATTCTTACATTAGAACGTCAGTGCTCTTGCGCAAATTCTAGTGTAGACAGTTCCAAGCGGCCAGTGTAGACAGCTGGCAAAATTTTGCCAGTCTAGACACACCCGTTTTGTTCAACATCTTTATTAACGACCTGGATGAGGGGATGGATTGCAGCCTCAGCATGTTTGCAGATGACACTAAGCTAGGGAGAGAGGTAGATATGCTGGAGGGCAGGGATAGAGTCCAGAGTGATCTAGACAGATTAGAGGATTGGGCCAAAAGAAATCTGATGAGGTTCAACAAGGACAAGTGCAGAGTCTTGTACTTGGGATGGAAGAATCCCAAGCATTGTTACAGCTGGGGACCGACTGGCTAAGTAGCAGTTCTGCAGAAAAGGACCTGGGGATTACAGTGGATGAGAAGCTGGCTATGAGTCAACAGTGTGTCTTTGTAGTCAAGAAGGCTAATGGCATATTAGGTTGCATTAGGAAGAGCATTGCCAGCAGATCTAGAGACGTGATTATTCCCCTTTATTTGGCTCTGGTGAGGCCACATCTGGAGTATTGTATCCAGTTCTGGGCCCCCCACTATAGAAAGGATGTGGACGCATTGGAGAGGGTCCAGAAGAGGGCAACCAAAATGTTTAGGGGGATGGAGCACATGACCTATGAGGAGAGACTGAGGGATTTAGGTTTGTTTAGCCTGTAGAAGAGAAGAGTGAGGGGATTTGATAGCAGCCTTCAACTTCCTGAAGGGAGGTTCCAAAGAGGATGAAGAAAGGCTATTCACAGTAGTGAGGGATAGCAGAACAAGGAGCAATGGTCTCAAGTTACAGTGGGGGAGGTCTAGGTTGGATATTAGGAAAAACTATTTCCCTAGGAGGGTGGTGAAGTACTGGAATGGGTTACCCAGAGAGGTGGTAGAATCTCCACCGGCTTGACAAAGCCCTGGCTGGGTTGATTTAGTTGGGATTGGTCCTGCCTTGGGCAGGGGACTGGACTTGATGACCTCCTGAGGTCTCTTCCAGCTCTGTGATTCTAAGTTGCAGGGTGTGCTGATTGAACTGTAGCAGCTCTTTGATTGAGGGGATGCAGAGGAAGCCCATGGCTCTCAGTGTTGTGTGCAATCAGCACACACCTCACTTCACCTGCTTTTGCTTTAAGTGCATGTCACTTTTGTAATACTGGTAGGGGGGAAACTACGGGATGAAAATCAGCAGAATCTGGCAACCCTAAGTATGGGCAACAGTAAACAAAATGTCTTACGGACACATAGAACAGCAGTGGGCTGCAAGTTGCTCCCCCCTGGCCTAAGGTGATTGGATAGCAAATGTGAAAAATAAGGGGAAGGTGTAAGAGTTGCCCATCTAACATAAGCCCCTAGTCAGGAAGTCCCTATAAAATTGGGGCAGGTTCACCCTAGCAGGGCCCCTGTTAGTATGCAGCAGGACTGCTCTAGACTAGAGGGCTCTGTCTATTCTCTTTTTTTGCCGTGGCCAGCGGAGAGGGAGATGAAAGACACAATGCGCTGCGGGAAAGGGCATTAGACGTCTGCTCTTCCCAGCTATAGACTGGGCGGGGAAGGGGCCGTGTTACGGCAGTGGCAGTTTACGACAGTGAGTTCATTTCCGGCATTGGGGGTTGCGCTTGGGGGGCGGAAGCTGCGGCGAGGAGGGGAAGCAAAACAAAGCCGTGGCCAGCGGAGAGGGAGATGAAAGACACAATGCGCTGCGGGAAAGGGCATTAGACGTCTGCTCTTCCCAGCTATAGACTGGGCGGGGAAGGGGCCGTGTTACGGCAGTGGCAGTTTACGACAGTGAGTTCATTTCCGGCATTGGGGGTTGCGCTTGGGGGGCGGAAGCTGCGGCGAGGAGGGGAAGCAAAACAAAGCGGGAGAGGGGCGGGAGGAGCCGGGATGTGACGGGCGGCGGCGGCGGCGGCGGGGAGAGCGGCCCAGGTAACTGA